TTTTGTAAGCAGCACGTGAAAACAAACAAAGCCCCAAGCACCTGGATGCACTCCTTCACTTCAACTTTGGGCCACAATTAGTCTTTTCATCGCTTACAATCACATGTTAGCTGTTCTATAGCAGCAATTACCAATCAGAGGCACATCGCGGGACCTCGTGCCTCAAACCTCTACCAAGACCTCTACGCAAGCCACTAGCAGCTTTATCGTATGGAATATTACAAATGCTCGTTCGAAGATCTACGGCGAGAGGCAAATCGGCGCAAGCTCCAACTGCCCTTGATACCCCAAGACGAGCTCAGCGAGGCTTTGGCGAGCGATGACGAACGAAGAGGATCCGAAGCAACGACAGTAGAAACCAAAATCCAAGGTGGCTTTGTTCCCCAAAACGTCCATCTGGGGCACACAGCCGAGTTTGGAGCGACGGTCCTGGCCAATCAACTCGTCGACGAAAGTACATATAACCAACACCATACGTGGAGACAACGAGACTGATGAGGACCAGAAATCATCTACTGGACCATGAATACTTTCTTCCCAACCATCCAGCTCTTTTTTGAGTCTGGCCGTTCTTGTACTATCGACGGCGGCCAGCTTCCAGACGCAAGAATAGGTCTAGATGCGGCTCTTCAATTCAAGTTGACAGAGTGTGCACACGAAGAGGATGGTCGTGTCACCAATTCCCTTCTCCCCACAACATACCCAGGACCTGGGACCGGCATGGCTATCAAGGAGGTAGTCATCGCCAAACGAACAAGCATCGCGCTGCAGCCGATACACCCTGAAGACGCCGAGGGGTGGACAGAGCTCGATCGTCCTCAAACAAGGATCGCAATGGAAACGCATACGGTTGTTGGAATGAGACTGAGGGGTATGGATAGGTTGGCTTACATATGGGCGAAAGTTAAAAGTATTCCTGCAACACGAGTTTGGAGCGACGTCAGGATAGCTGGACTGCGAAACGACGTGCCAGTACCAAATGTATGGCAGCCAGAACGTCCTATAAAGCCAGGGGCTGAGAAAACTGTGGTAGTCAAAAACAGCCTGATTACACGCGATTCCGGAGCGGCCGAGATAGAGCCTCGCTAAGGGTAAATGCTTAGAAATATTGGGGCATCGGATATATCCCTTTCACGATGTGGCAGGCGGTTTGGGTGACAAGGTTAAGGTGAGCAAGTTTGTTCAATCAAGGAACTGATCCAAGTCTGTAACTAAACGTGACAGAAATAGTGGCAACTGTCCGGGAGAAGACCAGCAACACTGGAGCAATGAGTCGCTGACTTTGGTATCGATTTTGCAACGTGCCACTTGCTGGCAAAGGCACGACTGTGTATTCTGGAAATGGTTAGACAGCATGAATAGACGCATTGCTATAGCTCGACGCCACAAAAACTACTTGGTGACTTGACCGACGAAAGCGAATAAGAAGTGTTCAAGACTACTGGCAGCGGTGCATTGTTTTGGGAACAGGCGCTGAATGTTTTGCAGTCAGACGACATGCTCTTCACCACACGGATAAGTTAGTCAACAGCCCAGCAGCAACCCAGCGGTCCACGTGAGAAAGGTCACTCTCCAAAAGAAATAATACACGGAGTAATACTTACAATGAACCTGAACTATCGAGCCACAAACAAGGAATTACCACACCAACAAACCTCCAGACGGTCCGATATCACAGCCCGTCACTTCCGCGCCGACGCCACTGCTCAGCCGTAAAGCACTTGCGCCAACAACGCAAGCACATCATCACCGCTTATCTCGGATCAAGATGGGAAGTAACCCGTAATCACATAGATGAGATTCCCACATCTGATCTGCGCATATCCCAGCAACAACCCAGTCACACATACAAATGCCCTCAGCGATGACGCCCCCCCTCATCGCCTACGCGTCGTCTGCGCCTCTTTCCCTATCCCAGCAATAACAAACTCTTGTGTACCATGTCCACCTTACGCATCACCTATCTTGCCCAAGCCCAATCTACCCCGATCCTCAACCAACAATAAAAAGAAAACTCTATACATGGTATACCTTCCACAAACCATTCACCCCCACGTGATCCCAAAGCAAATAAACCCCCCCACGCCCCAGCGTCTAAAAGGTAACACATGACGGTTACCGCAGATATCTAAAACTCCGACCCTAACCCCCTTGTAACCTTGTAAAAAAATACCAAGAGCACAAGATAAAAAAGCTCCACACACAAAACTGTGTCCCGATCGGAGCATCCGCTCTCAAACTCGGCCTCACTTCGGCGTCGCAAAGAACAACAGATACCGTATAACCGTACGCAAACCCCCACGCTTGCGTCAAGCGCGGGTGGGGACGTAACAAGGTTGGGCGACACGAAAAAAAACGTTTTTGCGCTGGCTAGGGTTGAGGGCGTGGGACTGGGGAGGGGGGCGCGGCGGGGAAGGGCGGGAGGTATGTAAGGGGAGGGGAGGTTGGATGAGGGATCCGGGCTCCGGTCGGTGAGATGATGGGTTGGGCTTGATGAGAGTTTGGAGATGGCGGTGTGAATGGGTGAGATGACGGTGGGTGGTGGATGGGTTGGATGTTTGCGTGCGATGGGTATTGCTTAATATGTTCTCAACATGGTCCTTTTTTCTGTTAACAGTGGTTTGGTAGGCTGGGATGAGACAGGGATGCGAGTGAGTGGTGAGGATGCTTCGATTGCTTGTGTAGTAGTCTGGGGACTTGGATAGCTTACTTTAGAGTTACGTGAATGACAGCACTACAGTTGTTTTAGTTAACAAAGAATGCAGTGTAGTGAGTTTTTCCCAAAAGAGTAGTACCGGTTTAGAGTCTCAATCAGATTGTAAATGCTTTCGACGACCTAGATGTCAAAACAGAGTTTCTGCAAGCTTGTGAGTTCATGTTCAGTGCCTATGATGTCTAGAGTCCAATCTTCCTTGATCAGGTAATGCATCTTGCAACTCCAACACGAGATACCGACAAACCAAGTTCTCACACATGTCCTTTTCAGTACAGTCGTCTAACTTACTTGCGTTTTCGCATTTGCCGCGATTTACCATCAGTCGACCAAATAAACAGCAGCATGTCATGTATGTACTTGGACGTAAAAGGTGGTTGCCAAGAGCTGGGGAAGTGCATACCGTTCAGAAAAGCAATGTGCTTTGCCGAGCGGGTTGGTTTGTAATGGTGGAGAGCGAGATTGGTGGAAGATCTGCACTGCCTTTTCGGACCGAGGTTTGGTAACATGTGCATACTACACGGACTACACGGCTGAGCGCAAGGGTCTAGCGAGAGGCATGCGACTAGAACCCCAAACGAGAAGAGTTTTTTGACGTGTGGAGGTCTTCAAAACTTGGTTTGGGGCGTTGTTCGTGTCGAGATGCTGGAAGAGGGATAGCTGTGGTACGGAATTGTGCTGGACGCAGACGCGAACTGGACGACTGCTGAGAAACAGTGTGCTTACTTCAGATAAATTGAAGTAAATTGGCAGTATGTTGCCCGGTTACGTCGAATGTATTGTTTCCGCCTTATCCGAACTATACCCGTCAAGCGCGGATAACTTCCTCCAAACCGACAATGCCGTTTGTGTAGACATATAGGTTGCCTGGCAAGATCGAGAAGTATTCCCGTGCTCGCAGGTATGCCTGGTGATTGTTCGTAATGGGGTAAGACTGTACGATCTGTTGAGGATCTATGATGCGCATGTGCTATACTTGGCGCAGACCGCAGACATGCGCCATATACGCGCAGCCACTGACGCCGATGGCACCAATTTGGCTCAATACGACTATACCCCGAATTTGCCGTCATATTTGAGTAATGATATGAATCTGTGGCTTACGTGCAAGCGCTGCCCAGCAAATAACTAGGATAGACATGGCGTTTTGGGGTTGTCATGGGTCGATGGATTGGAAAGCTTGACCAGATGTAGGATCCTTGCAGATACTCGCTTGCATGGGTGGGTTTGTGAAAAATCTTGACTCTAGCGTGTATGGACTGTCTGTGGCTAGACGTCAACCCTTAGTCTGTAGGAATGCACTTGAAGATGCCAACAGTTGATCTTCGCATCAAGGCTGCCCGGCAACTGGCTATTCCGACATCCGAGCAGAAGGATTATACTAGCATTCGAGATTATAATGAACCTGTCCCATGCGAATTCGCGCAGTTATCGAAAGATGTGGAAAACAGCAGTTTCAACCTCGAGAGACACCAGCCAATTGCTGCATGGCTTTGTTTGTCTCCAATTTTTTATCCCTGCTCAGGCTGCCCATCGTAATGTCAATCTTTCTTAGAACACATCACCTGGTCCATGATCTGCAAGGCCCAGATGCTAATACGGACTTCTCAACAATGGGCGAGCCATTGATCGTGTCAGCAATATCATTCAGCTCCAACTACCATTCATGATTGATTGTTGGGAGAAGCAACAGTAGACGGGTAGAGATGACCCGAGCCTGAGGCCGGGGGAAGAGCGTGGGTATAGGCGACATCCCACGCCGAGACAGTGGAGAGGCTCCCGTCCGATCAGCTTGGCCGAGGTGTGTTGAGGCTCCTTGCTAAACGGAATTGGGGTGGCAAACAAGCAGCGGCCACAACTGCCGTTCTCCGTAATGCAGATGTTGAATGGCAACTGACCCCCACGAACAGCCATGACAAATGATCGACAAACTACAGGTAAAGCAAAAAAAGGGGGCGAAGACTTGAACACCAGTACCTGTAGCTGGTATTGCCAACCAAGGCCAAGCTGAGTTTGCGATGGGTGTGTGCGCTTGGGATATGTGTGCTTGTCCTCTGTCGCTTACGCTTGCAGTATGTACAAAGGCAGTATCGGTGTGTCTGGCTGCCCATGACTGATGGAAACAAGGCCATGTCATGGTGACGAGTGCCAGAAATGTTTTCCGCAGAAGCATGTGCGAATGCCGTCGGCTGGGCAAGTCGCCGATGGATGTGGACATGGACAACGGTCTGGCTTCGCAGGGTTGCATGTGCCCCGCATGATCCAAGGTGATGCCTGACCCTTATCCTCACCCCCCTTTATCGCTATTCCTGGCACGAGACGGGCTGTTGTCGGGTAGAGAGCGGTGACTTGTGATTTTCTGCTTGCACATGGCGATTAATTGTATCGGTTGGTAGTGTATAGGGATTGCGGTGAAGGAAGAAGCAAAAGTAGTGCTGTTCAAAGGGGTCTCGTGATGGTTTTTGGCCAGCACACGATGATGGGACTTGGGCAGCATCCAAGACGGCCATTCCCGGGGGTGACATGCATATCTCAGGGCGTCAATGCATAGAATGGCGGTACACGAGGACAAGAGCAATGGCAAAAAAAGCTTGGGGAGGCTATGCGAGTCAGAAGGCTGGTGCGGCGGCGAGTTCAACGTGTGCGGCGAGTGTTCGAACGTGGTAAGAAGGCGGGGAACCAGGATCGCCAAAATGTGGGGTAATAGCGTCGTCTTTGCTGGCTGCATCGCATCGCTCCAGGCCTCGGGGTTCGGTTGGCGCTCCGAGCGAGGCTGTGCATTGTGGATGGCGGACGTAGACGCTGGCCATGGATGGTTTTGCCAGTCTTGGTCGTGTACTTGGACCGACTCGGACCTGTTCTGGGTCAAGAGACCACGTATATGGACTAGGTAAGAGCTAGCATACTTCCATCCAGCTGGCGACGCAGTGGGTATGGACTTTCCAATCATCGTACCACCATGACGGCGTCGGCGGGTCATGCCATGTCGGCGGCAGCGCATGTTGACGAATGTTGGCCGCTCGCTGGACATGCGCAGGGCAAAGGAACTGCCCTAATAGAGTAGAGTAGTATCGCCGACCCAGCAGAGTTTGGCGGGATGATTCGGAGACGGACTTGCTTGGGGCGAAGTTGATTGCCATTGTCGGGGTAAGCGGCTACGTGGGGGGGGAGGGGGGCCAGCGATACACCGGTCGACGGTCCACGACGGAGGATCAGGTACCACGAGGGGGCGTCTCACCCCCCGTATCGTTTTGATATTGCAGCAAAAAGCAAGGTTGGGGCCATGTCGACGGGGCCTGCTCACCGCCGTCATGATGCCAAAGTCTGTGTGGATGGAGCATGTCGAGTAGTCTGGTCGGCACCTTTCCCCGCGCTGTGCCGCCTTGTTGATAATGTCGACATAGCGTGCATCGGCATGGTGCAAACACGTTTGCTGCCGCAATTGGCCTAGATGGCTAGGCACACGATTCAATGCTGCTGGTAGGACAGGGACGCGGCGGTGCTGGCGGCGAATCGACTGTGTGGAAACGTGTGTTGGAGAGCCTCAGAGGGCAGACGCTCGGGCCTGGGCCCCCCCGCCACCAAGAGTAATGGGCGTGGGGGTTCTCCCGACTCCAATCGATCGCCGCCATCTTGGCCAGGCTCTGCAACAACGAGGCACATGTTTGATACACACGCACGCATGTGTGTGCCTCCACTATTTCCGGCAGGTTTTCGAGGCCATGTCATGGTCGCATGGGGATGACGGCGGCCGGCCTGGTGCCGCATGGTCTGGTGACAGGAGCCTGCTTCACACGGCCTGCCACGTCTTGCAGCGGTGCTGGGAAATCCTTCGTCTCCCTTGGCCTTTGCATCTGCTCTGCTGCACTGCGAGCAAAAGGCCCGCCAGACTCTAGCGGCCGCTCGGGCGACTGGGCCTGGGGGAGCAGCATCGCCAGATGGTGTGAGGACGAGGACAGCGACAGGAGCCCGGCCATTTACACCGGACGGCCACGATTCCCCCACCCCCACACTACCACGCCCGAACGGTATCCATCAACGCTCCTCTGATTCCGCCAACCCTTCGCATGGCGCCCGCTGGCCTATCACCAGACCCCAATGGACCCTCAGAGATCGTCACAAGGCGCTGCTCCCCCTTGCCCTGGCCCTTGCCCTTGGCCTTTTTCTCCCATCCGGCCACGGTCCGACCGTCACAGCCTCCCCACCCCTGCCCTCCTGCTGCTCAAGCACGAGCAAAAAGAAACAAACGCCGCTTCAATCAGCAAGACGACCTGTCTTCATTGGACCCGTCCAAGCCACCCAGCAAACTAAGCGCAGCCAGCGGTGCCTGGCATCGGCTACGTGCAGGCCTTGACTGCCTCGCACAGGCTGCGCTTGTCACCGCCCCTTTGCCCTTCACCCCCCCCCCCCCAAGTGCCGGCTCATCCCTCTCCGACACGCTCGTTACTCGTTACCCTGAAATGCCTGCAGTCGCTAGCTCTCCTGACAAAGCTGTCAGCTGGACCCCCACGCCCCGTCGTTGCCCTTGAGAGTGTGCCAGGCCAGGTCCGGCGTCTGCAAACATTTAAGTACCTGCGCTATCTGGCTTCTTGACCAAACATCCATCCACCATTGACGTACTCGTCCCATTTTTCCTTTCAGCGTCTCGCTAGTTCTTTCCCAAAAGTCTCGCTTCTTTTTACAAGCCTTTGCTAGTATAAAAGCCTACTTTTCTTCTCCACACTCCCCAACAAAAGTTGATATCATGTCACCACACCACGACGCCCCTTCTCCTGCCAACAGCTTCACTCAAGATTCTGGTTTCCACCATCCCGTGCAATCTGTCTACCTGGCTGACCGCTACAACGACCTCGACGCCAACTCAATGACTTCTGCTGACGTTGGTATCCGGCGGGCGCTGGTCCCTGGCATCTACGTTCCCACTGTAGCATTCTTCGACCCAGCTACGGATAATGTAGATGTCCAAACGGTAGCTAGCCACGCCGTCCGTCTGGCAAAAGCTGGTGTTGCTGGCATCACCACCCAAGGATCCAATGGCGAGGCTGTTCACCTGTCGCACAAGGAGCGTGACCTCATCACAAACACTACCCGCAAGGCTCTCGACGACGCAGGTTTTGGCTACATGCCTATCATTGTCGGCTGTGGCGCCCAGTCTACTCGCGAGGCCATCGAGCTCTGTGAAGAAGCAGCCTCCGCTGGCGGAGACTACGCCTTGGTACTCCCACCAGCATACTACCAGGGCCTGTTTTCCAAGGACACTGTCAAGGAATTCTTCAACGATGTAGCCACTGCGTCACCTATCCCCATTCTCATCTACAACTACCCAGGCGCCGTTTCGGGGCTTGATCTCAACTCAGATGTCATCATCGAGTTGGCCCAGCATCCCAACATTGTCGGTTGTAAGCTGACCTGCGGCAACACCGGAAAGCTCAACCGCATTGCATCAGCAACACGCGCAGCCACCGTCTCCGATCCAGGCTCCGGCTTCATGTGCATGGGTGGATCGGTCGATTTCACTCTCCAGACACTAGTCGGAGGTGGCTCCGGTATCATCGGCGGCATGGCCAACATTGCCCCCAAGACCTGCGTCAAGCTAGTTGAACTGTTTGAGGCTGGCCACCTCGCCGAAGCACGCAAGCTCCAGGCTGTCGTGGCTAGGGGTGACTGGGCTGCCATCCAAGGCGGCATCATCGGCACCAAAGCTGGCCTCATGGCTCACTACGGCTACGGTGGTTACGCTCGCAAGCCTCTGCCCAGGCCCTCCAAGGAGGAAACTCGCAAGTGGCGAGAGGCCTTTGAAGAACTCGTCCAAACGGAGAACTCGCTATAGGAGCTTTTTCGTTATTCTGTTACGTCTGTTCACGAACCCTTCTTCTTTTACAGTCATCACCCCCTTCTGCATAGGAATCTGGCGCTGAGACTACTAGTATTACGAAGCTTGTAATGGCGTTTTTTTCTAACTTTTCATTTTTCTTTGACTGGAACCTGGAAATCTCAAAAGCAAAAACGTGGGGTATTTCAACTCGTTTACGTCTCTTGTTTGCAACTCCATTGATCGAGCTGATAACGCTTTTGTCTTTGTTTGCAAAGAAAAAAAAGAAGAAAACCCGGTTTCCATGTATCTATTTTCTTACTTTTGCACCCTTTTTTTTCGCATAGCAAGTGGGGTTGGGCGGTCATCTGTCGATACGCGGTTATCCGTTTTTTTATTACTATTAGTCTGCAAAGTAAGCAAAACAGGCTGCATTCTAAGGGAAATGCATCCGGAAATAAAATATCATGAATCAAAAACATGACGCCGTGTTGAATATTGCTCATTTGTCTTTGATCGCGACTTTTACCCCTTCCCGTAACCGGTGTAATCAAGAGCAACACTCTTCTGTGGCTTCACTGTGGTGCTTGCTATGGCTCGTCAAACATATGCAATTACCCAGCTTACTACATACATCCCATACTACATACATACTATCCGGAAATAGGAAATTCCCCAATCGGAATGGCCGAGGGCCGATTCCAAAAAAAAGGGCATACATACCTTACCCACGCCTTCCTGTACCTAAGAAAATAAAGCATGCAGGGAAAACGTAAGCCCGATACCGGTGTCAAATGCCAGTCTACGTCTTGTCTTTTGTACAACACATACCTTTTTGGCCCCCTTGCAACGAGAAAGGGAGGGGGCAGCCAAAGTATTCTATTTTCTTTTTTTTTTCCAAATGTGTCGATTACCGGGTTGGGTAATGAAGATAGTAGGTTCCAGTTCCGTGCATAACTCCCGCCCCCCCTCCTAGTGGCTAGCCTTTTTTCGGCAAAAAGGGGGGGCGTGGCAGCATCTTTACTCATTTCGCCGAGCTAAAACCGGGGTTCTTTTTTTTAAAAAAAAAACAAAAAACTCAAAGCAAAAGAGGAGGGAGGTATCCAAAAAGGAGGATATTCATGTTGTTTATGAACAAAGGGTATATGTATATACATGAGAAATGGAAGAAGATGAAACAAAAAAAAAAGACGCTGGTCATATCATCAAATCTGCGATTTTTTCTTCATCAAGGGGGAAAAAAAAGGAGAGCTGAACACGCTCTATCCCAACTCATTAGATACGTCGTTTATCGAGACTTGCCGCCGTGTCCGCGACCAGGCTTAGCACCACGGCCCTTGTTAAGCTTGACGGTGAAAGCGCCGCGCTCAATGGTATCTGCGAAAAGAAAAAAAAAACAGTCAGCATTCCGATGCCATTTTTGAAATACATATATATGAGTCGAGGATAAAACTTACTAATGAGCACGTATCCCGAGGGGAACAAAAAGTGCGACCAGGTACCGACAAACTCGACGATACCGCCGGCAGCATCATCCTCGGGGTAGATGTCGAAGAAGCCCTCGACGGTAACGCCCTTGCCGGTAGGATCCTTGCTCACAGATTTGACGTCGTGGACCCAGAGACCCGCGCCGTAGTTGCTCTGGTACGCAAGGCCATCGACAATGTAGAGGTTGTGGTCGATAGCCTTGTGGTCAGTCGCAAAGAAGGTTCCAGTCGCCTTGGGGTTGCGCAGATCCGTCAGGTCGATGATGTGCGTGACCGGGCGGCCCGAAGCAGCAGGGCCGACGGCGTTGACTTCGTCGAGCTCGTCGTTCAGGAGCACGTACTGGTGCCAGTTGCTCTCGGTCCACCAGCCCTGGTGGCAGTAGGTTGCACCGGGGTACGAGAGCGTCGACAGGATCTCCGAGGCCGGGTTTCCGTTCTTGAACGTCGAATCATACACGGTAATCGTATCCTCATTGTAGCCTATGCAGATGTTGCGGCCGCGGAAACTGCGGTCGGGGCCGTTGTACTTGACACATTGGGCATCGTGTACGTATCCGTCACTGCTTGCACATCCGGGGGAGGTGGGCTTGCTGGGGTCGGAGAGGTCGATGTACTTGAGACCTGACTTGCAGGTTTCGTTGCGGGGCTGGGCGCCGACGGCAAGGATGGAGTCGTGGTCCCAGTCTACAACGACGTTGTGCGTGCGACCGATGGGGAGGTCGGAGAAGAGGCCGACAAGGTCGGTCTGGGGGTCGAAGGTCTTGGGGGAGGCGGGGTCCACGGTCAGGAGCTTCTTCATGTCGAAGACTATGTCACGTGTTAGTGTTGTGTTGTGTCTGTAACACGAGTGACTTTTTTGGAAACTTACTCTGAACGTTGTGGCCAACAGCCTCAGAGCCGATAATGACCCAGTCGTTCAGAACACGGATCTCGCGCCATCGCGAACCCTCACTCTGGGCTGGGAGACGGCCAAGGTACACCATCTGACCGTTCTTGAGGACTTCGACAAAGGCGGCGCCAGAGAACTGGCCGACGATACCAAACTCGCGGCCGTTGGCGGCAGTCCAGCCCCAGGAGGAGGATCCCCGGCCTTCTGGGCCACCCATGTCGGCGTGGCTGATGAAGTCGTAGAGGTCCATCTAGTTTCTTGTCAGCACAAACATGACTTGCTTGCTTGAGTTTCACTTGTACTGACGTTCTTGCAGCGGTAAGTCTGGTTCGCGTTTCCTGGCTCAGCGATGGCGAGGCCATCTTTGCAAGGGATGCGGGTGTCGTTCTTTCCCGGTGCCCATGCCCCCTTCTTCAAGGTAGAGAAAGAGTCCCACTGAGCGGGATCTTGCTTGCCCTCTGCAACATCGCGCTCCCATTGATCCTGTGAGACAAGTCAGAAGACCGAAACCCGCAAAAAAAGCAGTCGGTAGGTAAACATACACTCTTCAGCTTCATCAACTTCTGATGAACCTGTCCAGAGGCATACTCCGACTTTGAGAAGAAAGCAGCCTGGACCGCAACAGGAAGTGCTAATGCAGCAACTGAGAACCTCATATTGACTACTTGGCGTGTGTGTGTGGAGTGCAATTGAGCTGGAATGAGCAAGTTTTCTACAGAGGACTCTATGGGTATATATAAAAGCCTGGTGCGCATAGATTACTCTACACTGCTCCTATGAGCCTGCCCATGGCATTGCCACAATTCAACCGCCATACTACGTTAATGTCTTGGTAAATTGGTGTCAGTCTGGGCATAGTTTGGCAATCATTCTGCATGCGGAAGGTGGAAGACGGCCACGTGACTGTTATCCGGCAACGATATAGCAGGGGTTCTTCTGCGGTCCTGCTGATCCACGGTGATGTAGCCGTCCGTATGCGATGCTAACTGTTTCCAGAAGGTGATTCGTCGAGGTTTTAACTGGACCGACTCTCGCCAAGCAGAAAAACAACTTGGATACCATTACGGCGATGCCGAATCTCACTCAGAGCGCATTTGCTGGACGGCCTGGAATTCGGCCTTGGCCAGTATCGTGAGCAAGCCAGCCGTGAGCAACATGGGCGAAAGAGCACCTCTGGGGAAGGTGATTATCCCCAGATGTTCTGTGTGCGTAGTACGTAGTAGTAAGTAGCGCGCGCTGGCTTGGAGCTTCGGCCTCGCGGAAGTTTGGCGTCTCTGACTCGAGAACATCGCACTGGCCCGCTGTCCAAGAGTTTCTTCCAGTCGCTCGGCAATGAGGCTGTTACCGGGTACTGGGATGAGAGCGGCCGAAACTTGGTTGGGGAGAGATAACGCGATGGAGTGAAGATACAAAACTGGAATGTGCGAGCTGCAGTCTCTCGGCGTTGAGCATTGGCATGCGCTTGCAGACGTTCCCACGGCTTGTACGCTACGTCAGCAAGGAAAGAACCCAAGTGTTTGTTAAGACGCTTGCTCGTTGTACAGAGACCATTTGTTTCTAGGGCTGTTCGAGAAGGCCAGTGTTTCTTTAGTGTCGCGGCATTCGATGCGGTAGTATTTTAGGTGACTGGATCTCGCGCATATAGTAGTGCTGTACCTCCTGTAAGTACGCACATACTAGCGAAACTTGAACATCAGTAGAACCTCGGGAAGAAGACAAAGTTAAAACAGTAATGTCAAAAGAGAAGATGAAATAAGGATATGACATCCTTCAAGACAAGACTGCCGGTAGCATCCTGTATTGCCGTGCTGACACTTGGCACAGCCACAGCGCAAGCACGGCACGTGAGCATCTCACCATTCACACGCATGTACATGTCAACAGAAGCTGCAGGTTTGGCGCTTTTCCTATCAACTGTCGTGTACAAACAGGCGTCATTTGTGGGAGTAGCAAGCCATCATCTACTTGCCATAGGTTTGCTTCTAGGTCTTTCGGTATTTGTTTGCTACCACTGGCTGCCACTCACACACCAGAGCTCTTTCACACCATATCTACTAACCCAGCTCACTCTTTTAGCAGACGCCCTGTACCGCACGATGCGCATCCATTCACCTCTCTCTCATAGGTTGCATGTATTCACACGCGTTGGTGGGCGGTGAGTCGCGAGGCCATCTCTCCTTCAGCTTCACGCGGTCAACAGCATTTTCACTTCACGAGACGTTTCCTGCACACTCGAATGAATACCAGCCACCGGGATACCGAAATCGGCTCCCGCATTGGGTATAATCTATTATGTAACACGGCCGGCTACGCAAAAAAAAAAAAATCTGGTCACTTTCACACCACTTGCTGGTCGACTGACTCCAGGGGGGAACGGCTGACCAGCCAGCTGGGCGCCAATGGGTTTCACCGTGAAGGAAGCAATCGGACCGGTGAGGGAACGTCGTCAGCCTAAAATTCCCATGCCTGGAATTTGCAACAACATGGCTTTTATACTCGATTCCACACTTGTTTTTGACAACAGCTGCTCCAATTGAAACAACAATAGACGTTGTTTTTTATATGCAGTGTTTTTTCTACGACATACGAACTTGCAAGTTTCCATTTCGCAATGGTAATATCTCACATCCCGAGTGAGTTACAGACGGGCAAGTCTGCCGTATCCAGCAAAAAGATGCCGTCGGAGTTCGCACAATCTCTTTTGGCGGCTGCAGAAACTAGCCACGAGCCTATTGGAAGTTCAGAAGGAGATGTTACATCGAGACGATCGGAGGCTAGCCTGGGCGGAATACCAGAAGAGCTCCTTCTGTACATCCTGCAGCACTTGAAACACCAAAAGGATGATCTGGCCAGACTCTGCCGAGTAGACAAGCGCTGTAAGCGTATTTCTCAAGAGTTGCTATATGAAACTGTGGGGGGTATTCGACCACATCACGAGGACGCACATGCGATTTCCCGCTGGCCCACGCTAGCCCGGAATGTGCGGACTCTTGTATACGCCTTTACAGATTCTGAAGACAAGGAGTCCGAAAGAGAAGTTTTTCTCCATGTCCTCAAAAACGGACACAGCATTCGCTGGATGACATTGGGCGTCGATCTCGCCAAACGCGACAATGATGAGCCAACGAATGCAAGGGATACTACAGCGGGTTGGCTAAGATTATTCAACCAAGCCATTGCCCCATCACTCGAGCCTCGCAATCGGTTCACCAAACTCACCCATCTCTGCATCAAGGCCAGACGCCTGGCGTCGAGGGATTTCCCAATTGAATCCTTATCCAGCCTCTTCCGCCTTCCCTCGCTCCTGCACCTCCAACTGGATGGCTTCCATCAAACCACGCCCTTTAAGTCCTGGGCTATACCCCCGTCAAGCAGCCCGATCAAAGAACTCTTCTTACACCGCGCAATGCTCGACATCGCCGCCTTATCCCACCTCATAATCTCCATCCGCTCCCTCGAGCATTTCGAATACAACTTCCACACCGCCCCCTGGGAGCCCTTTGCCACAGAATCAAACCCGCTATCCATCTTCCCCAATCACTCCTGGAGTTCGTTGGGCGCCGCACTACGACATCACCGAACCTGCCTCGGGCGTCTCTCACTCTCCGACGCTTCCGACGCCGAAATCATCGGCACGGTTTACCCCGAGGGCCACGACTTCGGCGTCCTTGGCTCGTTCGGCGAGTTTGAATGTTTGCACAGGATGGCTTGTCCAATCGAGGTATTTGTAGATGTTGACTGTGTAGTGGATGCGGAGTTCTTAGCGCTGTTGCCGCCCCGGTTGGAAGCATTCAGCACGATTGTGAGGGAGAAGGAGGCGGATGAGGCGGCGGGGCATGTCGCGCTTGTGACTTCGCTGCGGAAGGCTATAGGAGCGAGGAGACTGGAGGTATCGGTGTACTTTCAGTACATATGTCGGTGCCAAGCACTGACTTCGCAGCGCCTGAGCGACGCCGCCAAACGCGCGATGGAGAGTGGGGTTGTGCTATTTTTTAAGGGTGGGGAGAAGGATCAGGAGGCGTGGGTTCTGGGGCGCGAAATTGGAGAAGACGAGCAAGACGAGGATAGCTCCATGGAAGACGACGACGATGACGACGACGAGACCATGGACGATGGACATGAGGGGTGACCATTTTTTTTTCCGCCCGATGTCTCTTCTTTCCGCACCCATGTAAGCCACCGGGAATTATATCCCTGCTAATACGAATGCGGATACGGATGCTTTCCCATCCCCGGGCCTCGTATACGCAGCACTTCACCCGAAAAACACAGAACCCATAATGGCAACACCGTTGTCGTGTCAGAAACGGTGCCATGGCGGATATATGCAATCGAGTAAGCCGGTCCTACATTGTTCGATATAGCCGAAGTGAAATATCTGGGATTCTTTCCTGCCAGGCGGATAGAGAGAGAGAGCTGCATGTTATTCCAGCAACCGCAAAGGCCTTCTGTTTCTCTGCTCCTGTTGGAGAAGAACAGTCACCTATAGGTATTGCTCGATGTCGTAGCATGCGGAAATGTTCACATATCTACCACCGGGGCTTGTTTCTTTTTTTTTTCGGGGTCGTTCCGAGATTAGGGGGCGGGAACATGTATCTGTATAGACGATATAGAAATGATGTTGCAGATGACGATTTTACGATGGAAATGAAGAGTATAAGATTTATGAAATTTTATCCCCATGGATTCAAAATTTTCGGACTTTGGTAGTTTTCTTGATCAAATTTGCTTTGCGAGGGACTTGTTTTTCATTTGACTCGCAGGATGGCTACTCAGCGAACTTGAGAAGAAAAAACAAACAAACAGTAAAATTCCAGGGAATGCAAGCGACTATGAACTAGGATCAAGAATACATCAGAGGGGAAGGATACGTAACCCTCCAGCACCACACTAAAATACAAGGCAAAAAGAAAAAGAACAATTTTACCGCCTACTCAGGGGCATACTGAAGAGAATCCATAGGGTAAACTAGTTTTCCTCATTTCTTACGCTGGTAGCGCCATACGCAGTCGTGGGTTTGTTGGCACGACCAGTAGCATCGCCCCATGCAGCACCGAACCTGCGACCAGTGCTTGCAAGCAGACCTTCTTCCTCTTCCTCTTCGAGGTCGCGATCCATTTGTTCCTGGTCGAGTGTGGGTGCCCTGAACAGCGTGGTGACGAAGACAATGAGGTAGATGCCCAAGAAGGCGAATTGAGCCCAGAAGAGAACCACACCGAAGAAGGGGAAGTTGATTGTGACCCGGTTGATAAAGGTGCTGAGGACAGAGGGTGTGCAGACTTGCTGGGCAGAGGGATTGGTAGCAAGTTCACTACAGGGCTTGATAAGGTCCTTGTGCTCGGTGCAATCGGGTTGCTCGTCAAGACTGTTGGTCTTCATGTCGCAGTAGGTTTGAGGGCCCCAGGTAGCGTACTGAGGAGCAACGACCATGGCGACGGAATAGTTGATAGCGAGAACAATAAGCGTAAGGAGCACAGTGGCCATGAGGAGGGCCTGGGGCGAAGTGTGGCCCTTGCGGATCTTGAAAATAGTGATCCAGAGGAAGCGGATGCCGACCGTGGCGATTCCGACAACAGAGGCGGAGAAGAAGAAGAGGACAAGGAGCAAGAACAGAACATAGTCGATGGGGAAGACCTTGGAAGACTTGACCAGGATCCAGTTGAGAGGCTGGAAGATGTTGATGTGGCCGAGGATGTATCCGCAGTGAGCACCGCAGATGGAGTTCTTAGCCTTGTCAATGCCAGTGATGAGCATACTAGCGAAGATAACAAGGGCAAAGACGAGGAGGATGAGGCCGCCAAGGAGCTTGAGTGGACGGAAAAAGGCCTCTGTCCTGATCCAGGCCTTGACGATCCAATGGCGGTCCTCACCACTGGACTCGGCCGCCAGGCGTTCGCGGCGGATGAGAGTGCGCTCCTCGCGAACAAGGGCCTCGAGCTCGCGCCTGTCCCTGCTATCCAATCCGCCCTCGCGGCCTTGGCTGCGACCTTCAAGCTGCCTCTGGCGCTCACGGTTGGACTCGAGTTGAGAGGCAGTGTTCGCGGCAAGGGTGGGGGCCGAGATGGAAGGTGCCGACTTGATCATGGCAACAGGCAGTAGCGCCATACCAGCGCCAGTGTAGAGAACATAGAGCACGGTTCCGACTGTGATGAGTAGACCGAGGGCAAAGGATAGAGCGCGCTCGCCATCTGGAGGGCTGTTAGCTTGTGTGTCTGAAGTCTCAAGTGCGCCTTGGCTGTGCTTACGGTTCTCAGATAGCAGATGCTTGAAGTAGTCGAGATCAAGACGCTTGTCGTCCTTGGCCTGCTTTGCAAAAGGCACGAAGAAGCCTACGAGGAAGATGGCGACGACGAAGACGAGGAAACCAAGCGTCCACTTGATGGCGCCGCCAATGCGCTGGCCAGCCGTCTGCTCTCCGTGCTCAGCGGCATCCTCGTCGTATTCCTCATACCAGAAGTAGGTAAAGGGAATGACGAGCAGGCAGAGAACAGCGTCGAGCGAGTAGAGCGAGTAGTAGACAATGCGCAGGGTGTAGAGAATACTGTCGACCTTGTCTGGTGTGGCCCAGTCCTTCTTGCGGCCTAGGCTAGAGCGGGATGTGGACGAGACGAGAGCGACGTCAACGGGGATCAGCAGGACCGTGGCCAGCAGGGCAAGCGTGGTGAAGATGCAGACAATGGTGACAGCGGCAGCGCGATCGCGCGGCTTCTGGTAGACGTAGACGAAGGTGGACGCGATTAGGAAGAGGAGGCCCACGGCGACGGCGTAGGCCACCCAGATGAGGCTCGTCTGGATGAGAGCCATGATGGATGTCGCGGAAATGAAAGTAGGAAAAACGATGCAGAAAAGAAAAGCGAAGGCAGGTCGCAGACCGTCTTTTTGGTGTCTTTTTCCTGTTTCCTGGTAGTTTGGCGTGCGCCGCTAAGAGTGGTGGTACACGGTGCTGTAACAAACCAGCGGCAGCAGCATGACGTCCCTGTCGCGTCGCAGAGCGGGGATGATGCATGCAGCCTAGCAGACGCGTTAGCCCCATCGGGCCCATGTCCATGCACGCATACCCACACTTCTCTCTCCACGACGCGACTCAACACCAAGACAAAGCATCGCGGGCGCTGTCCCCTCCAGCTCCGCTCACCTTCACCCCGCCCCCCAAATTGCTCTGAGCGGAGCCATCGCCATGCAGTGCTACACGGAAATAGCCCCGCCCACGGCTGTCAGCCATGCCCTCCATCTCCCGCTGCTGCACGCCAGGGCAAACAACCTGGTTGTCGCAAAGAACTCATTGCTGCAGGTTTTTGAGCTCAAGTCCACCACGACTGAGGTCACGCCGGGCGGGGGAGACGAGGCGGAAAATGCAGCCGCCAACCTGGACACTGAGGCGGCCGATGTGCCCTTGCAGCGCACTGAGAGCACCGCCAAGCTGGTCCTGGTCGGCGAGTTCCCCCTCGCTGGCACAGTTGTGTCGCTGGCGCGCGTAAAGGCACTCAGCACAAAGTCGAGGGGCGAGGCGCTGCTGGTGGCATTTCGGGATGCAAAGCTGAGCCTGGTGGAGTGGGATCCCGAGTCGTACAGCCTCCATACAATATCAATACACTACTATGAGAACCCAGACTTGCCCGGCATTGCTCCTTGGTCCGCTGATCTCAAAGACACGTACAATTTTTTGACGGCAGACCCCAGCAGCAGATGTGCCGCCCTCAAGTTTGGCTCTCACAACCTCGCCATTCTTCCCTTTCGCCAGCGTGATCTTGTCGACGATGACTACGACTCGGATGCTGATGGGCCCAAAGAGTCCAAGCCTGAGCAGCAGACTGCATCTGGCTCTCACACAACGCCTTATACCTCGTCCTTTGTCCTGCCGCTCACAAACCTCGACCCCACCCTTACGCACCCCGTCCACCTCGCCTTTTTGCACGAGTATCGCGAACCCACGTTTGGCATCGTTGCCGCCTCCCGAGACACGGCCCCGTCCTTACTCGCGCACCGAAAAGACATTCTTACATACTCCGTCTTTACGCTTGATCTCGAGCAAAAAGCCTCTACTACGCTCCTGTCCGTCTCCGGACTGCCGTACGATATCACCAGAGTGGTTCCGTTGCCTTCACCCATTGGTGGTGCTCTGCTGGTGGGATCAAATGAAATCATACACGTCGACCAGGGTGGCAAGACAAACGGTGTGGCTGTGAATGAATTCGCCAAAGCCTGCACTTCCTTTCCTCTCAGCGACCAGTCAGACCTGGCTTTGCGCCTCGAAGGCTGCAGTGTTGAGCTTTTGTCTCACGAGGCGGGTGACGTGCTAGTCGTGCTCAACAATGGACGTCTCCTTGTCCTTACCTTTACGCTCGACGGCCGCACTGTTTCAGGCATGACTGTCCACCCCGTTGCGGCAGACCATGGCGGCCACCTCATCAAAGCCGCCGCCTCCTGTACTAGCAACCTCGGACGAGGACGCCTTTTTGTTGGAAGCGAGGACGGAGACTCGGTCATGCTGGGCTGGACTAGCACGGCAAGCCACCTGCGACGAAAGCAGTCCAACGCAAACATCGACACGGACGAGGACATGTCTGATGAAGAGGATATGGAAGACATGGAAGATGATCTTTACAATGATACAGCCCCTGCTGTTCAAAAGATCACTGCTGCTGCTTCGGAACCTACTGCGCCTGGCACCTACACATTCCGCATACATGACGTACTGCCGAGTATAGCTCCAATCAAGAATGCCGTCCTACACCCAGGAAAGGACACCGAGTCATTGAATAGGGGCGAGGTGATGCTTTCGACCGGGCGAGGGGCTGCTGCCTCGATAACAGCCCTGAATCGTGAGCTCCACCCCGTCACTGTAGCCACAAGACAGCTCCCTTCAGCACGCGGCACTTGGGCTGTGCATGCCCGGAAACAGGCGCCCGGAGATGTCACTGCTGCTTTTGGTGAAGACATGGAGGCAAACATGGCCACTAATGTAGACTATGACCAGTATCTCGTGGTATCCAAGACTGGCGAAGATGGAACCGAGAGCACTGTCGTGTACGAGGTCAATGGCAATGAACTCACGGAAACTGACAAGGGTGATTTTGAAAGAGAAGAAGGCTCAACGCTGTTCGTTGGCGTACTGGCAGCAGGCACAAA